AACAACTTTTGGGCGCACAGAACGGGATTATGTAATCTGATTAGCAACGCCTCACTTATTGCCAACAGTTTTGCATTACAGTTACGTATCAACGGTTTGAAACGGGAAGCGGTATCAATTATGTGTTTGGTTGTCATGAGGTGTTTTTCAATTGACCCCGGGCTACGTGCTATAAATGTGCTTGTTTGTTTTGGCGTCAGCGATTGAGAGGAGTAATCGAAATGTTAATATCTTTCGGTCTTGATGCGATAGATGTGTTTCAAATAATATTTTAAGTAAAGCCCAACATTTATCAATGTTTTAATCTAAAATAAATGTCTTGTTGGCGATAGAACGCGCAGAATATAAACCGCTTTATTTATTGTCTCTCTGCGCCATTTTTCAATTTTATGCTTAAGAATTGTTTTGACAAAGCGATTTGCTTGTTCTTTTCCAATCCGATTCAACTTCTCAGTCTGTGTGGCTGATGTCTAAAGTTGATTTTTTTGTCCGTCTGTCCAATATCATCTCATTCTCGTTATGCCTAAATTCATCATCCAGCGGGATTCGCCCAACCGCGCTTAGACGTACCCGCCCCGCACCAACCGATAACCTCAGGAGACCAAACAAATGAAAATGGAACCAGTTCAGCCAACAGCCCCTGTCTGCCCTCGTTTGTGGGCACACACGCTGCTGTCCTGGGCGCGATGCCTGTGATGCCACAGACGTGTGCATTCGTCACCGAACCGATCCCGACCACCGCGCACGTCTGCCCCATCCAAAAACAAACTACTTTGGGCGATTCGACGGCCTATCAAGTGCTCCTAACCAGTTTAAATGATGGGAATGCCGCGCTCGGAAAAGCCACGGCCATCACCTACGTCAATCAGCCCATGTTTGCCAACTCATTCCCCGATAGTCTGTCTTTAGCCCCCGGAAATGGGGCAACCGGTAAATTTGGATCGAATGTAGCCGCAATGCAAGCGCCTTTACCAGTCAGTTCGGCAAATACCGCAGCCAGTGGGAAAAATGGAACCTGTGGGAGTGGTGGTGGATCGCATCACGTGGATCGACGCCACACGGACAGCAATTACGACTATATTGTACGGCCTGGCGAAATGTGGATGGGTCAGTATCTGATTAACAGTTTGATTGGCAAAGGATCATTTGGTCAGGTACGCTTTCTTTTTCGGGTACACTGTTTTTTCTCCTTCTGAACAACCTATTGATTGACTCGATCAAATTGTCTCACTTTTGTCTTCTTCGATCGTCCTCGGTTTCGCAATCATGCAACCAACAGCCGTTTCGCAGGCCAAATTTCGCATGTCCACTTATTGGTTGACGAAGCACACACACACACCGTAATGTTGTCGATTACTATTTTATGATGTGTTTGCAATTGAGCTAAGTCTTGTGAGTGCTATCGCGCTTAGAACGGAAAGAAAGACTCGATAGTGCGGTAATTGGTGTTGTTGTTGAACGATTGACTTATTGCAGTTATGATTTAGTCACGCAGTAACAGTGAACTCGCTACGGATTCTTGTCTCAGCACAACTGTTCATATTCCGTAAAATTCGCAGGTTAGATTTATTGAGTAAATTATGCCAAATGACAAACGACGCCAATTATCACATACGAACTACTATTCCATGGATACTTGGGGAACAGGCTTCGGGCATGGAGCTCCTTGACCGGTCTACGGAATCTGGTTATTCATTAGTTTAGTAAATGCATCGAGGCCATAGAAATCATGCACAAATCCGACGCGTAGAATAAGGGGACAGGTCAGCACCGAGGTCAGTGGTTTTGACTTTCTTAGAGATTTCCATCTGTCCAGCTACCTACATTGGAGAATGCATTTTGTCCTGAGCAAGTTTCGGGTACTCCTCGACCACAACACAAAGCGACACCACTACCATCGTCTTTCTCATTTTAAATGTTTTTCAGGGAACTTATTTCAGGAATTCTGCAAGCAGCTAGTTGATCACATGGGGCATTTCATTGGATGCCTCATCTCAACTTCCAATCTTCAGTCGAATCTCAGGAATATCCAATGTGTCCATTCAAGAGATACGCTGTTGGAAATCCGTAGCTCCTCATGAATCATGTTTTTCATCTTCCTTGGCCAGGTTTCCACAAGCTCGCTTATTATCAAACTGCGAGATCAACCATCCTCCCAATACATTATTTCACATTAGAGCTGTGGTTACTATGGGACGATTAGGGTGCACGAACTCATCTCTATTGAAGCTCGTAACGGTAACAATAGTCAGTGATCGTTCCTCCTTGTTCGGCAGCTAGCTTGAGAGAGAGAGAGCCTGACACGGTTCAAATTTTCCAAAGACGATTGGTCAGCTGTGCTAACGCGTTCAGTAAACCCATACATAGAGGAATGCGTGTTATCTCAGAGAAAACGCAAACACGATAAATGATCACAATGATTTGATACTTACTCAATCGAAAAGCTGGCTGAATAAATCGACTCTAAGGGGATGGTCATCTCAACTGGTGTTGCTTGTTGGTCGTGTCTGAACTATCAACCAGTTTTCCCAATATCATCATTTGTGTGTGGATTTTTAACAATCGTGTATGTTCTGCTTGATCCAGTCTACCTGATATCTCCCGGTTTTTGATACAAGACGACAAAATTGACGATTGATCCGCTCGGTTCACTTGAATTACATTGCCACTACCCGAATTGTATAAATGCTAATTGTGTAAATCTGATTCGATCCTATTTTATCCTGACCAAGCATCATACTGTAGGTTAAGTGGACTTCATTTTCAGATTTGTTCTTTTTGAGTTTTGTGATCGGGCGATTTTAATCGCAATCTCTGTTGGCACTGGTCATTAAAGTCGGATTTTCACCACTCAGCCTTTTAGTGGAGGACAACTATTCTCCGGTTCGCAACCTTCCAATCCCATCGCGGTGCTCTACTTTGCTCATTTTTTAAAAATATAATCAAGGAAGTTGTCTGTTTATACAAAACTGAACGATGCCTCCCCGTATCTTTTCCCCGTTCATCTCATGGAAGACCCGACAGAATCACCTCGTATCTGACAAAATAATGTACTTCGAATAGCATTTGGGTCCGCTGCTTCCCAGTTTGAACTCAATCGGTTTATTCCACGGTGTAGCCCGCTAGTTTCACTCCGTATCTACTCGTCTACTCGTCAGAGTTGAAATGCTCTCCCTCACTGTGCTTCCCCTCCCCGGCCTCCTCCTCAATGCACGATGGTTACATGGCCCATTTGTCATGCCATCGCTATGATGCGTGGCGCTTGCCTGTGGACCCCGTTATTGCGCTGTCTCACGACGCACCGTCAATTCCGTACTGTTCTTTGTTTATGTTCCGCTCTTTGCCGGTCCAAAAGCCAGGCCTTATAGCCCCGACCACACACACCAACCAGTCGAATCTTGACCTAGCCTGACCGATAGCAGTGAGCGAATGTATGCATGCATGCACTTACACTCTCATTCTATCATTCCGGATAGTTTTAATCGATCGGTTGTCGAATCGCATGGCCCGATGGTTGTAGGTAGTGAAATCTGCATTCGGTCGATCGCCAACTGGGCTTTGAAATCTTCCGGCCAGACAGGTTCATTAATTGCGATGTAAATTGCTCCAAATAGAGTGCAGAGACAGTCACTTTGTCCATTTGTGAACACAACTTATTCGGTACATGACATTCGTGATTCAATATGGATTGTAGCCATTTCAAAAACGAACCGTTAACGTTTAGAAAATAAGCATCCGGTCAAAGTGACTATGGTTCCAAGCGGGATGTGATCTTAGCAAATGGTCTCTCAGTTATCGTATTGTGCTGTATCGCGTGGTCACTGCGAGTGGACTGTCTGAAAGTATGGACTTGAACAGTTACGCTGCATATCCGGACTTGGTTGCAGTGGTCTAATTAATCCAACCATTCTGTACGTTAAGATCATCACAGTCACTGGTAAAGTTGTTTTCTCCGTATTCGAACATATATTCACGATATAATGACTTTCACTTTGCTGTTGATGTCTTCCAAGTGTGGCGAATCGCCGTGACACGATAGGGAACGCATGGTATAGATGAATCCCGTAAAGCCTGATCATTGTACAAGTGTCTGCGAAGTCCGGTTCCAAATTGTAAGCGTTCTCTGGCGGTTTCGGTTGGTACTGCTTATTCGTCAGCTTAAGCGTGAGCGTGTTCAACTCCAATCGTTAAAGGATTCTGCTTCGCGTTTCCCTTTTCACTACACAAGTTAATTCACAGTAAAAAAGATGGTTGAACATTATGTTCCAAAGAGGTGACGTGTATGTCTATCACTCACGATGAATCCATTTTTTTATTTCACTGTCAACGAGTTGGAGGCTATTAGTGGGAAGAAAGACGGACAGAGGAGTATGAAGGGTTCTTTTGGGAATGAAGGATAACNAAGGATAACTAATGATCGGTGATTTGGTACCTAGAACCAGACACTACAAGAGTGGCTGTCATATTTCCTCCCTGAACTACCATGGAAACGTAAAAAGAATGAACACAAACGAGACAGGCTCAGATCAGCAAAATCCGAAATTCCCTAAAATCCAACAGTGACTTGTTTCACTAATGCCTTTACTACGTTGTTCCGTTTCTAAATCATCTTTGGGTGTTATTGCGTATTTTTCAATGTTCCAAATTGTGGTTTTTCCACAATGAGAACTGGATTTGATGAAACAGTCGTGTAAACGGAGACCGTTGGCTTTTCTGGACAACGAAAGTGAAAAAATGATTGTGACGAGTTGTGGGTTGTTTGTGACAACAAAGTTGCGATTGCAATTTATCGTTTTAAGCAATTTATAGCTCATCGTTCGTGTTTTCTTCCGTCCCGTCCCTGTTTCAGGTCATGAAAGCGCACAACTGTCTAACAAACGAGGATGTTGCAATCAAAATCATTAAGAATAAACGTGCGTTTACCAATCAAGCTCAGGTTGAGATTCGTTTATTACGTGAGATGAATCGCTATCAAGAGGAGGCGGAAGTGACCGGGGAGCCCGCACCGCCTGGCGCGAACTATATCGGTACGTTCGGTCTCCTCACATTCCCGCCCGTGTGTGTGTGTGTGCGCGCGCTCGTGTTTGTTTATTCCGGCTTTCTCTGTGTCTTGTTCGCACTAACCTCATTGCTCTTGTTGTTTTGGGTATACACTCCAGTGACGGAGACGAGCATACAACTGTTTTTTTTACTGATACCTCAAGGATTTTGATCTTGCGGCACTGTGTTATTAATTTAAAAAAGCGTTTGTTTAACCTTGCGGCTATCCAGACAATACTCTGTGACCGCTGTACAATATCGAACTCGGACGTCCATGACTCAGCGTAATGTTTTGTCTATCTCACTTCCTCTAGGTGATGGCGCTTCGTGACAATATTTGTTTACTCATGCTAGAATATACGGCGTAATACTGCCGTGACTGTCTTGCGACTGATGTGTGTTCAGACACAGAGTGGTCTAAGGATTGAGCCTGTTTCAATAGAAAATTAAGATAAACTGGTTCAATTCGATCAGACTATTTACATCGTGTTGGACTTGTGAGTTTGGGGTCGGTAAAGTTTATTACATGTCACTTATTTGTGTTCCGAACAAAGCACGTTGCAACAGTCTTTGCTCGGTGAAAGGTCGTCTGTGAGTTGCTTGTGGGTGGAATTAGACCAGGTTGCTAGGTGAATTTCCTGGGGATTCACAAAGGAACCGATTTCCCGACCAAATTCTAACCCACAAAAAAGGCGGTATTTAAAGGCCGCAAGCTGTTTGGGGCCGGTGTCCAGCTCATCAGAATCCGCACCCTTCGGACGGGGCAAATGTCTAGGATGCCTAATACAATTCACTATCCCCAATTAAACTGGAGACCATTACCATAACCAAAACGTTTTGTGTCTGTGGTTCGTACAATCCTTGATTCGTTTGGAATCGTGTTTACCCAACTTCTGTCAACGGTTCATCAAACTAATTATATTCCCTGTATTTCACTGTACGAAGCTGATACGTTATGGCCCCAGATGTTGGATTTTTGTCCTCTCTCTTTGGTCGGAAAACACCGTCAAGTGAAGATTGCGCGTAAAGCTTTTCAGCAGAAACACTTAGTCTGATAGCAACATTTCGCGTGGTGCAAGTGAGAGGTTAACAGTCACATTCGAAGGCACCCCTCCCCTCCCGATCACAATATTGCTATGGGGTCCACCCCGTGCGCTAATAGGTGTTATACGATTTTCTGTTTGTTCCTCTAACTTTTCCGTTCTTAGTCAAATCGGAATGTGTCTAAAATCAAATGTGGGCATTCAGTCAGAGTGATGAATACAACTACTCATGCACAACCGAAACATACTGGTTTTCGTTGTTCAGAACACTTACGTTCATAGTTTGGTTAGTGATTTCTTCCAGTTAGACCGCAAAAACAGAGACCAGAGCGATCATCATCATCATTCACTCCGTTGCTAGTGTGAGCTGCATCCGAATTTGGTGATGATTAAGAAAGCTGACTCATCGAACCCAACTGATTATTCATTATTTTGTATATTTTAATGAACATATTCCGAAAATCCTGCGATCCAACGGTATCGAATCGCTTTATTGTCGACCTACGGGCTGTTGTTATCCTTTTTTAAATATACAATAAGAGTACCGTTCTCATTTTTTGTTCATTTTTACCCTGTCCACATTTCGCTATCTATTATAATAGTTCCATTCTCATTCCTGTCCTCTTTTTCCGTTGGTCGTTAAGTCCGCCTACTATCTCACTTCACATTTCGAGGACACTTATGTCTGGTGTTCGAACTGCTCTCATACAATCTTTACGATCTGTTGCGCAATACCAATTTTCGTGGAGTGTCACTCAATCTGACCAGAAAATTCGCTCTACAATTATGCGGTGCATTGGAATTTTTATCCCGTCCCGAACTACGCATTATTCATTGTGATCTGAAACCGGAAAACATACTCCTAGTCAATCCGAAGCGTTCAGCCATCAAACTGGTGGATTTTGGCAGTTCATGTCATGTGAAAGAGAAAGTGTATCAGTACATTCAGTCCAGATTCTATCGATCACCGGACGTTCTTCTCGGTCTGGACTATACTATGAGTATTGATATGTGGTCACTGGGTTGTATCTTGGTCGAATTGCACACAGGTGAACCGTTGTTCGCCGGACAAAATGAGGTGAGTTCTTTCGTCCACCGGACATTCTTTTACCTTAGTTTTACATAACTATCTCTTGCTGGGAGATTAAATCGGTTTCATGGTCATTACATCTGAGTGCGACCTGCAATGCTGCTAGTTAATTTCGTACAAGTCAATAGTTGGGGTTATCCACCTTTCCCTCTGATCACCGGATATATTTACTAGACCGATTCGGATTATCTGATAGTTAACTAACGCATCGCATAATCGTCGCGTCGATTGACTAATGCATATGGCATACTCTGTTTTCTCAACTCACTGAGCCGGGAAGGTGAGAAAGATACAAACAGGGACGGGGTGGTGACCCGGTGGTAACGTCACCAAATTATCACCTCGGGGACGTGTGTTCGAATCCCACGACCACCGCCCGCACTTCCCCATTGTGTGTTGAATGGCATCTCTTTAATTGACCGCTTCCCGTTTCCTGAAAATTTTACTTTTGTATATTCAACAAAAAAAAGTAAAATGAAAAAGAAAAAAGGTTCCGGGTTTTGCTTCTCTGAGGTTTACGCTTAGGTCTTGTTCCATTGTGCTGCGGTGCAGACAGCAGTGTTCGAACACCGACTGTCTCATCTTATCCTGTTCCTGTCCAATTCTACACCGCATTACCCGAGTCTGATGGGGACACCGGACAGGCGACGCTGAAGTTAGACACAAGGTTTTATTTAATCGAGGTCTCCCCCTGGAGCAAATAGTCGACCTCTTTAAACTGCGTTGGTTTAGGGCCAAATAGATTGCCACGGCCCGCGATGTTTACCGGAGCAGGTAATGGATGGAAAACTGCCAAAGGTGATCACACTGAAATCTGGCAGGAGGGTATGAAACCTTAAACAGAAGACTTGCTCACATAGGTCGCGTTCGACTTCCTCGATCAGCGTAGTCGATGGTCAGAGAGACTGAGTGATGTGGCTGAATGTCGTAAACAGTGGCATCTTGCATCTTCTCAGTGTATCACCTGATGTTTACGCAGCAATTTTTGTGTTTCCCGCAATTCCACCATTTCTTACCTTAAAATTGAAACATTGTTGTTTCCATGACGATTGATATGTTTCACCATATGTAATTGCTCTTTGAGTTGCAATGAACTTTAGCATTTTCCAGTTCAAGTTGACTTTCCTCGTATGCACAAAGTAATCGATTGTCAGACGCAAGGTAGTCATGGTGCGTATTTTTTCGTATACGAACGTTTGGTTGCGTTCACGAACCGCCATTCAGCACGATTGCTCATTATCCATTACGAAAGTCCAGTTTCCTGTTATTGTGCAATGTATACTGTAGGAATCACCTAAAATAGAATAACTATCACTCAGTGACCTCCAGTCCTATGTGTGAAACACTTACGAACTTGATGATTGAGCTTCCCCAGTGACTGAGGATTGGATTCACGCAGCCGCAGGCTCGAACCACATCGTCACTCAACTTGACTTAACCGGAAAAGTGGGATATCACGTGTTTTATCCCTGCTCGTTTGACAAAATTCTGCTTAATTTCCCCAGTACTTTTTTGTGAATCTTTTAGTTTCTCGTTTCCTTTTATTGCTAGTCAGTTCTTCCGAAAAATGAAAAAATTACACTTTTAATACTGTCATGAAACTGGGCACCGCTGTGTGGTATTCAACATGATGATTTCTTTTAGCGCTTATCTACCGTCGTCTGTGTTGGTATCCACGAGGTTGTCACAGTGAGAACGGTCAGTCTTAGGACGCCTCGTTTTTGGGGCTCTTCTCATTTTAAAGATTTATGCAGGTATATCACCATTACTACTTTACAACTTGTTGGCGCTTTTTCCGAATTCCAATTTTTTATTGCCGTCAACAAAAACAAAGCGCTGGTCATACATGTAGTACACGGCTGCCAGTTGCTTAAACCATTATAGCTCGATCGTCGGTTTTTCTCCATGTGTATCACTCACATGTGCTTGTGGTTGGTACTTTTCCTCTCTGTTTGATCCTTGTGTGCGATGATTAATGTAATAACGTGTCTTCTTTTTCGTTTTGTAAACTTTGTTTGTGCTTGTCAATTTACAATCGGGTTCTAGAGAACTCCGTCGGGGCTCTGTTAAAGTCATTTTTACTAAAACAAGACTGGGTGGGGAGGTATACCAATGAACTTTCCTATCGCAAATCTATCTGACGGTAAACCCCAAGTCTTATAACCCTTTGTCAGCGACAGCCTCTGTAAAGTATGCAGTCCTCTGGATTTTCAAGTTTTGTTATTTGGGCAGCTATATCTCACCCGGTTGAGGCATCACGGATGAAGTGTCAGCTCGCATACAGAGGGCTCGATTGGCATTTACAAACTTGAAATATCAGTGGCGTCGGCGCGACATCCGGTTACCCGTGAAGGGTCGATTGTATACTGCCGCAGTTCTACCATACAGTACAAAGACTTATCCATTAAAGAATCTGTCTGCGTAGCATTGCACGAATCTGGTGGGACAACCAGACAAGCAATGCTGTGGTTAGACGCAGGGGTTTAGGTAACTGCGGTCGCCCACTGGAGCAAGTGGTCGACCTCCGTAGATTACGTTGGTTGGAGCATGTTACGCATGTCACCAAACAGATTGCGTGCGGGGCTCGTAGTTTACCGAGGCAGATATTGGATGGAACAGTCCCAAAGGTGGTCAAAATAAGACTTAGCATAGGTGTATGAACACGCCGTTCAGCTTCCTGGATGGAGACCTCGGGATCACTGTAATCAATGGTTAGAGACACTGGTGCTTTAGCTGAGTTTTGTAAACAATGGCTTTAGTGCATTTGTCCTGGTTACCTTTTTTCATCTCGACACAGATTCAAACATTCCAGTCTTCTCTTTACTCCTTGATTCAAATGGGAAGTCTGGTTAGACTGCAACCAAAACGGAAGCCCTAATCGTTGTACGAACCGAAGCTGAACCATGACATGCCTCAGCAATCACACATTGAAGGTTTCTCGCTGATTAATTACGTAACGTGCGTACCATTCATAGCAACTGAACTGAACTGAACTGGATAGCTCTATACGGATCAGTAACATCAAATTTTAATAAATATAATTGCTTGTCCCAGTTGTCTGATTGTGTGCCTTCAACAAACATTATGGTTTTGTTTGTAATCGGTGATGGTCAAGTAGGGTGTTTAAGCGAAACAGAAAGGCACTAGCAACTCCGACCGATATTGTTACAGAAATGCGCACGTGTTGACCTATCCCCGAAGGTCCCGGAAACAGCTTTATTCTCTCTCTTTATTCGACTTCGGATTTTGAAGGTTTATCCCTTCTCACAGTTCTGCTTCGATTTTGGCACTTGACGTTTTCGAACGAAAAAATTTTTTGACAAAAATGAAGCAGGTATATTGTACGATCTTACTTTAGTAAGATGTTGAACCATTCACAATAGATCCAGTTTATCGATTCTGGTTTTTTGAGGAGCTGGATAGTGTTTTACGATTAAGCTGTTCGTGGGGGGGGGGGGNATAATAACTGAATACTGATCAATAGGTATTTCAATAAAATGACAAAGTGTCTGAGTTCTGGAGTGGTGGGGCTGTGTGTGTGTAAGAAGGATATGTACAAATCAGGCAAACGCAGATGAGTCATCTCCTAAGTAATGTTGATGAGAAGATGAAATGAAGCAACCCTTTCGTCGACGGTCTAGTGACAAAATGATCAACAAAACAGACTATGTAGACTACACATAAATGCAGTCAGGTCTTTTTAACTGATCAGGTAAGAGGACAATTTTCACGTTGCCCAAGCGTTTTATATTGCCTATACCGATATACTTCGTGATTAGGTGATACATATCTATCTTGTTCCGGTCTTACGTGAATCGTCAGTCCCAGTTTCCATGACTTGATTTGCTGGAACCTGTCCCTGTACAGTAAATTGTCACAACTATGGACATTCACCACGTCGGATGTTCATCGTAGTAAACTGTGCAATGGAATGCCGGGGACGAACTGCCTGACTCACCCCGTTAAAGTGTCGGTCAGCCTTTGTTGATTTGGAAAGCACTGGTCAGCCCCTTGATGCCAGTAAAACTCTCATGCACACGTGATTCGACGCAATAATCATCGATCGGAACTCGACATTATAGACCCATACTAAAGTGTTGATTGATCGGTCAAAACACTTTTACACAAATACGTTCCAAAGCCGCAGCTGATAGTAGCCTGTAGTGTGCTGACTTGTATCGCGTGGAGCACACATGCCCGTCACTGTGATCTCAGCAGGACACCCAGATCATATCACCAGGATAAGACGGACTACTGCAGTGAAGTTTTCTGTTGAACCGTTTATGACACGTGGTTCATGGGAACGCATCAAATAGAAATCGACTGGTCCCCTACCGGATCACTGGAACAGTTCCGGTTGATTTATCAAACTTGTGACCCTGTCCTGGCTGATCTGGGATGATTTTAACCAATAATAGGGAGTGAGAGGTGTTTATGAAATGACGCCGATCAATTCAGTTCCCGTTGTCTTTCCCCTACATTCAAAAGCTCCAATACCGATGGTTTGACCTTGAACAACCAGTGTGGACATGCCTTGGTGTGGAATGAACTGTGGCCCTAGCTGACATGGAATTCCCGTGTGCCGGTAGCATTGATCCAGTTGTATCATGTATCTGTACTTTAACTTCCCCCCAACTGACTAGATAGCTACATACTGGTCAAATCATTCAAATGCACGTACTAACTTGCCTATATTCATACTAGGTGCCCAGCTGTCCACGACATAAACCAGTGAATATTCCTATCGTGACATTTAAAAAACACTGTGCCGAGCAAAGCTTGTTTTCGATAACTTCTTTTGCGGACCAATACAATTATGTATATAGAGTTCAATCTATCGACTGAACCTTTCCAAACCGCACAACAACAACAACGGAAAACCCTTTCCCGTCATTTCAAAACGACGTGTAGCAACATCGCAGTCAATCAACCAATCATATTCATAAATCAGACGGTTACTTAATGTGATGGTGCATGTAGACTGAAGTCAACTGATCAGACTGCATCCCAGCGTGATTGATTCCACTGTGAAATAA